CTAAGGTAGGCGCAAGGCGTTGCCCCATCGCTAGTCCTCTGACCTGTTTGTAATAATGTCCTGACCAGCGAAATACGTTACAGTTCAAACATTCGCTTACGAGGGTCATTATACTTCTGACTGAGAAACCGTACAGGCTGAGAGAGGACTGATGTTCCAGTAGAATTTCGTAAATAGCTTCCAGCGCCGCATCATTCGAAACATTTGTATAGAGTGAAGTGACATCAAATGATTCTATCACACACTCTGGGGTCAAATGCGTGCTGCGAAGCCGCTCGAGGAGCATGCCGGTGTTTGACAAGTGAGCTGGGACGAACTTTAACAACTGAACAAGTATGATGTTAAGAAACCATGCAATTCTATCAGTAGGGCCCGCAACGCCGCTTATTATTGGTCTAACCTTGAAGTCGCAGGGGTTATTGGAGCTAAGACTTCCCGCGGGGAGTTTGTGCGTTTTTATGAGCGTATAAAGTACGGGACAAGTTGGTAAATCGCTCTTTAGGCGCGAGATGAGACTTTTGGGAAACCCTGAAGAGCGAGCTATATCGGTCCACACTCTATTGAGACGGCGATATTGCCTTCCGAACTCTACTGCGCTAGACGGCTGGTAGACAGTCTCGTCTTGCAGGTGATTCCGCGTTATCGCCATGTCTAGTTCACGTGAAAGAACGACGAACTCACCCCCTTTGTCGCTAACGGAAACCTTGATTTCCCCGGCGCTGCAAAGATCACGGATTTCGCGTAGACCGTGGCGCTGAGCTGGTGTTAAATTACTATTTTGGCGCTTTGTGGCAAATTTGGCGAGGATGGCATATACTGATGTTGCAAACACACGGAACTTTGAATCTACCATGCTATTTGGTTCCTGCGGTTTGAATAACAGCCTAGGAAAGGGTATAGCAGAGAGAGGACTTACAACCGCGTTTCTCCGCTCTCTTTCGCTCTGCTCGCTATTTGCCTTGCGCCGCAATCCTTCGTGAACAAATTGGAGGCTGCCTACGATTTTGCGTGATACCCTAGGTCCTATTGATTGTGTCGGTGCAAAACTTGGACCGAGATCCAAAACTGAGATTGCATTATCTGATAGGAGTGCATTGCCAATGATAGACACACGTGAACTGTCAGGTACCTTTGAAGGGCTTTCCTCAGTACAGTTTGGACCTTCAGTGTTAAGGGACGTATTAGCTAATGCACGTGGGCTCTGATTCATTCCTAACTTCATAGCAAGGAAGCGACTTCACGAACTTTGCGGCCTTTCCAAAGAATGCCGGCAGATACGAGAGATCGAACAGAAACTACTGCACGCTGCACTCAAGACGAAGCAAGATCATATGTTCTCGCTCTTGTCTAAATGTTCATATAAAGAACAGTGTTGCCAACGTCTCGTGCCCGAAAACCTTTGGAGGAGGATTGTGGGTGAGTCGAGGTACATTTGTGATCTCATTCGTTCTGATGCCAAGTGTAGATTGCAGGAGAAGTTCAGGAGGTTAACTAGTCAGGGGGAGAATCAGAGCCCACGTGCATTAGCTAATACGTCCCTTAACACTGAAGGTCCAAACTGTACTGAGGAAAGCCCTTCAAAGGTACCTGACAGTTCACGTGTGTCTATCATTGGCAATGCACTCCTATCAGATAATGCAATCTCAGTTTTGGATCTCGGTCCAAGTTTTGCACCGACACAATCAATAGGACCTAGGGTATCACGCAAAATCGTAGGCAGCCTCCAATTTGTTCACGAAGGATTGCGGCGCAAGGCAAATAGCGAGCAGAGCGAAAGAGAGCGGAGAAACGCGGTTGTAAGTCCTCTCTCTGCTATACCCTTTCCTAGGCTGTTATTCAAACCGCAGGAACCAAATAGCATGGTAGATTCAAAGTTCCGTGTGTTTGCAACATCAGTATATGCCATCCTCGCCAAATTTGCCACAAAGCGCCAAAATAGTAATTTAACACCAGCTCAGCGCCACGGTCTACGCGAAATCCGTGATCTTTGCAGCGCCGGGGAGATCAAGGTTTCCGTTAGCGACAAAGGGGGTGAGTTCGTCGTTCTTTCACGTGAACTAGACATGGCGATAACGCGGAATCACCTGCAAGACGAGACTGTCTACCAGCCGTCTAGCGCAGTAGAGTTCGGAAGGCAATATCGCCGTCTCAATAGAGTGTGGACCGATATAGCTCGCTCTTCAGGGTTTCCCAAAAGTCTCATCTCGCGCCTAAAGAGCGATTTACCAACTTGTCCCGTACTTTATACGCTCATAAAAACGCACAAACTCCCCGCGGGAAGTCTTAGCTCCAATAACCCCTGCGACTTCAAGGTTAGACCAATAATAAGCGGCGTTGCGGGCCCTACTGATAGAATTGCATGGTTTCTTAACATCATACTTGTTCAGTTGTTAAAGTTCGTCCCAGCTCACTTGTCAAACACCGGCATGCTCCTCGAGCGGCTTCGCAGCACGCATTTGACCCCAGAGTGTGTGATAGAATCATTTGATGTCACTTCACTCTATACAAATGTTTCGAATGATGCGGCGCTGGAAGCTATTTACGAAATTCTACTGGAACATCAGTCCTCTCTCAGCCTGTACGGTTTCTCAGTCAGAAGTATAATGACCCTCGTAAGCGAATGTTTGAACTGTAACGTATTTCGCTGGTCAGGACATTATTACAAACAGGTCAGAGGACTAGCGATGGGGCAACGCCTTGCGCCTACCTTAGCCATTATCTTCATGTCTAAAGTGGAATCGCCCGTGCTTACAAGAAAGCCTTTGTTGTATTGCCGCTATATAGACGACTGCTTCATCATCTGTCCAACCCAGGACGAGATGGATGCTTGTTTCGATCTGCTCAATCAACAGTTCTCGCGCATCAAGTTTACACGGGAGAAACCCTGCGATCAATGGCTACCGTTCCTCAATGTGCAAGTGCATGTATCTAGGGGCGATTATAGAACAAAGTGGTATCGGAAACCCAGCTGCAAGAACATTTTAGTGCATTACTTATCCGCGCATCCAAAGAAAGTCAAGCAGTCCGTGATTGGAAACATGTGCCGAACGGCTATTAGAGTTTCATCGGGTATCCAGGAGCGTTCCTACTCTTTAGCGTTAGCCAAACAAATAGCCAGGTCGAACGGGTACACAACAAGTAGCTGTGCTCCTAGATCGCGCGCTTTTGTAAGCAGTAGAAATCGCTTGGAAGAAGCCACGGATAAGATTCCATTCTGCATGCCTTTCATCTCGGACTATATAAGCAGCGCGGTGCGGCGATGCGTATATCAGGCGGGTTTGCAAGACGCGCTCAGGGTGGTCGATATTCCGCCGCCCAACCTTAAGAGGCAATTGGTCAGGAATAGAGCGTATGATCGGAGTTGCTTGACTCCAGGCTGTGTAGTTTGTCCTTTCGGTAAAGAGGGGGATTGTATGGTAGCAGGCGTGATATACATCATCACATGTTTATCATGTGGCGACACGTACATAGGCGAAACTGGGCGCCCGCTTTGCTGCCGCATAAAGGAACATCTAGATGGACTGAACAAGTCAAGGACCAGTACACCGCTCGGTAGTCATCGCTTACTGCAACACGAAAATGCTGAAATACAAATTGGAGCCTCGATTTTGTCCTACGAACCCGAAGTCCTATCGCGCAAGACTTTGGAAGCGTTTTGGATCAGCGCTAAAAATCCAAAAATGAACCGGAAGGAGGAGTGTATTGCAATAACTAACGAACTCGCGCCATATCAGGCCCTTTGCGGTTTCTGAGGCTAGGTCAGGTCACCTCATTACTATAAATAGGGCAGAGGTATAGTTATTGTATAGTTGGTGGTCCCTCGTACCCCCTATGCAACGTTTAAGGTGAGTATTGCTTTGCCGTGGCTCTGGTTCTTTCCTTCGTACTAGCTTTCAACTGAATTGTCTTGCTTCTTCATTGACGTCTGAGGAAAGAGATCCTTATGTATTCGACTTTCTAGGCCCTGACGAAGGCGATTGCGCCGAAACGTTGGCCGAAGTTAATAAAGAGAAATTGCCATCTTGGTCGTGTTGCTCAACATCCTGCTACGGTTCATAACTATGCCAAGATTAAAGAACAGTCGGAGTTGGAAGAAGTATTGAGCAAATAGCGAACAAATCAACTGTTGAGCAACGGGCAAAAAATGTACCTTTCACGTTCAAGATGAGCGTTTGAGCAAATTGTGACATCTCAGTCACATCCTTTTTATTTACCAACTCACACAACTCGGGAGCATCAAGACCGTTTTGCGACAAGCGCAGATTTTTTTTGCAAAAACTTTGTTGATAGCTTATGGGGTCTTAGAAGACCTCATAAACGTTTGTAATCCCTTATATAGCCAATGCTCATGTTTATGGATTCCTCATCACTTAGAAATGTTTTTCAAATTTACGAAAGCCCTATGGTACTGGCTTTAGACTTCAAGATCTGTTGCGAAAGTAAAGTAGCCTCTCTTCCTTCAGCACATTTTTGCTGGATAAAACAGCTGGGATGGCCGGCTTCCCCAGTCCCTCTCCAATATTTATGAGCTATGTTTTCCAATCAGCTGCTCACTTACGTCTCCCCCCTGTGTTAACTCCGGGCGCTCAGTTCCACGCGAAATGAATCCGCTCGGTTTATGTGATGGATATTTTTCCAAATTGAATGTACCTTCGTAATCAGCATGCTCACTTCTCCTTGTGCCAGCTTCGGCCGCATAGTTGAAGTTTGCGTAAAATCGATAAAGTCAACGGAAATCCAAAAATCAACTTTTTTCCCACTTCATCCCCGTCAAAACTCCCTATCGCAGCTTAAATCTTGCAAAAGACCGATAAAATGGAAATAAAAATAGATAAGAAAAAAGAGCCTACCGCACCCGTCTTGCCCAAAATGTATAAGTTCAAACTTCAAATCCGGATCGGTCCAGATAGAATTTTCTTAATGAACATAAATGTACAAACATCACAGGCAGGGAGACAGACAAAGAGACATCAAGCTTTACATATAAGATGAAGACACCTCCACAGCATGTTTATTCGAAGTGCTACGTCCACAATTCAAATGTTATTCCCATTAACAAGTGCAATGAGAGTATCTCTATAAATAATTGAGCAGTTCGTCTTGATCATATTTTCCAGTGAAGCATGAAACATTTCCGAAAATTGTCTTCTTATGTCAACCATATCAAATTCGCTTCGACTCACTATGAGTCGGAGAAGGTCTTCGTCTCTAGTCCCATGACTTTCCAGACATTGATGGAGCTGCTTAGCAAAGTAGGCTGGACGATTGCGCACTACGTCAACAGCAGCGCGTAGACCCTTTCTTACGTAGCCAGAAAACTGTGAATCAATTGCTTCCTCGACCGTCTGCTTATTTTCCCTTTGGTACTTTTCCAGAACATTTTGCAGATAACCCTCATTTCTGTTTTTGAGGATTTCGTCGAAGAAGTTATCGTCGGAACTTAGAGAGAGCTTCTGAAAACTGTACGAGATTGTTCCGGAAGAGGATTCGCTGCTACAGTATTCGCTTGGGTTATGACTCATCAGGGTACTGTGCACTTCTCTACTGAACGTTGTAAGGCCACCAATCGACGAGCAAGTAGAATTGTCGGTAGTAATGGATTTACTGCACGATCCAACTGGGGCGCAGCTCTCACCAAAGTGCTGGTTTGTTAGCCCTAAGTTATAGACATTGCTCTGGCTACCTTTTGTGTCAAGGTCTTACCTATATTTTGTTCGCTTTTCGTCTCTTGAGAAGCAGTCTCCTTCAAATTGTGTGCCTCCCCAGTGAACATTCCTTCCATATGATGGTCGCTACGGTCAGCTTCCGATAAGATCCCTCCAGTCACCTAAGCGGTTTTCATTACAATCTCTATATATTATAAAGCGAGTTCAATCTCGCACGGTTATCATTTACCTGCGTCGTCTTAATGTAAACTTGATCACTGCTTGAACCGGTAAGATGTTCTCCACTGCTCTGCGTCTTCTTGATGTCAACTTGGCTACTGCTGTGTGAGTCTGTTCCCGTAACTCCAGTAAGTTTTGCTGATGTCATATCGTGTTGATCACTGCTGTGCAAGTCCGCGCCCACTCGCTCCTTACCAATTATCTGCGTCGTCTTTATGTCAAGTTGGCTTTCGCTCTGCGTTCCCGTTCCAGCGTGGCACTCACCAGTGATTTCGGTAGTTTTTACATTGATTTGGGTATTGCTGTGCGCGTCCGCACCCATATGGCTCTCACTAGTGATCTGCATCGCTTTGATATCGAGTTGGCTGCTGCTTTGCGTAGTTTCAGTTTTTATATTGCCAGTAATTTGCGTAGCTCGTGCATCGAGTTGACTCCTGCTGTGTGCGTCTTTTGCCGTACGACTTTCATCACTTGGTTGCATTGTCTGCACTGACCGCTCACTGCTGATTGATGTCGTCTCGGTACGGCTTTCGCGAGAAGACTGATCCATCTGCATATCCACAGAACCGCTATAAGCATCAACCTTCGACCTGTTTTCCTCTTTGCTTGTGGTTTTCGATTCTTCGTAGTTAGTGCTGTTTAACTTTCCAGCCTGTGCTCTTCCTGCGTCACTGTAGCCAGCACTGCTCAATTCCGTTTCCGTACGGTTCTCATTGATGTTCTGCGTCGATCTGATATTGAGTTGGGCACTGCCGTACAGATCCGTTTCCGTATGACTCTCACAAGATATTTGCATTGCCTTTACATCGAGTTGGCTGCTATTGTGCGAATTTGCTCCCGTATAGTTTTCATCAGTAATTTCCTTCTTTTTGATATCGAGTTGGTTGCTGTGTAAGTTCGCGTCCGCTCGTTCTTTTTGTTCTTCAGTAATATGCGTTGTCTCGAAATCGAAGCAACTTTTGCTTTGCGAGTCCGTTCTCATACTGTTCTCACCGGTCATTAGCGTAGTTTTCACATCGGGCTGGCCACCGCATTGTGAGTTTATCTCCACATGGCTTTGACTAGAAATCACCGACTTCGTGGATATGCCAGTGCTGGACGATGTCGTTTCGGTGCAACTTTCATTGATAAATTGTCCTGTGCGCACATAACCGCCAGATTCTTCAGTTTTTGAGTGACTCTCTTCTTTGGCTTGAGTGGTATTGAATTCTTGGTACTTAATAATGTGCAGGTCCCCTCCGTCTTGCACTGTGCCAGTATATTGCGGTGTTTCCATATCGAGGTGGTCATTACCACTCGCTCTCGCTGCATCAGCAATGTCCTGCATCGGTTTAGTATCGGGCTGACCGCTGGTGTGCAAGTCTGCTTCTGTTCGGCTCCCAGAAATCTGCATCATTTTTTCGAGTTTGTAATCGCTTTGAGAGTTCGTTCCTGTTCGGTTCTCAGTAGTAATCTGCGTCGTCTCCCTAATTTGTGTATCGCTCCGCGACTTCGCTGCCATATGGCGGTCAGCTTCTACCTGTATTGTCTTTAAATCGAAATCGCTACTGCTATGCGAAACCGTTTCAGTACTTCCCTCATAGGTTACTTCCTTACTTCTTACATCGAGTTGGTTACCACTGTGTAAATACACATGATCTTGGCGATCTTCTCGACAGAATTGACCTTCTTGCACGTACGTATAAAGGCCGACTGCATCATTAGATTGGCTCTCGATGGTTCCTGCCATCTTGTGTTCCTCGTAACCGGTGATGTGCAACCCCTTTCCATCTTGAGCTTCTCCACCACTCTGCACTGTTTTTACTTCAACGTAGCCACTACCAAGCGAGGCGGTTTCCGAATGGCTCGCTCTGGATGACTGAAATTCTATGACATTAAGCTGGGTACTGCTGTCCAAGTTCTTCTTCATGGAACCCTCACTAGTGTTCTGCTTCGATTCTATATCATAGTGGCTGCTGCTGTACAAATCCTTTTGCTCATCCTCAAGTTGTCGTATATCGGTACTATGGTAGCTGCTATGCATATCCCTTCCCGTACGACTTTCATCAGATATTTGCATCGTTTCTTCACTGCTAAAGGATGCCGTTTCGACGCAGTTTTCCCGCGAATATTGACCTGTCTGCACATTCATATAACCGACTGGAGCATCATTTTTGGATTTGCTCATATCTTCAAGTCCTAGAGTTCTGGATTCCTGACGGCCAGTGATGCGCTCATCTTGCGCTGCGCTAGTGTTTGAGTTCGTCTCCATGTGGAGCTCACCACTAAATTGCATCGATCTGATGTTGGGTTCGTTGCTGCCGTGCGAGTCTGTAACCCTGTGGCTCTCATTAGAAATCTGCGTCGTCCTTATATCGAAGTTCCTATTTTGCAACTCCGCTACCGCATGTTCGTCACCTTTGACCTGTTCTGGTTTGAGAACAAGTTCGCTACCGCTCTGCGAGTTCTCTTCCATGCGAATCTCATTACTCATCTGCGTCGATTTGATATCAAGTTGGTTGCTGCTGCGCTGCGAGTGCGCACTATAACAGCTTCCATTTGTGACTTGCGTTTTCACATCAAGCTGATTGCTGCTCTGGAAATCTGCTTTCCAGCGACCCTCTTCAGAAACCTGCATTGTCGATTGCTCACTATTGAATGATGTCGTTTCGACGCATCCTCGAGAAAATTGGTCCGTTTGCGCATTCATATAACCACCAGGCGTATTAGTTTCCACTTTGCCCACATCTTTAGTCCCTGTCCTACTGCATTCTTGATAGTTTGTAACGTGAAGTCCTTTCCCATTCTGTACTTTTCCACATATTTGAGTTCTATCTGAATCGATATGGCAACTACGCGACCCTAATTCCGTATGGTTATTATTGGATATCTGCGCTGTCTCGGTTACTCGATCATCGTTCTTAATTTGACTCCCACTGTGCGAATCGGCTCCCGTTCGGCTCTCACTAGTGATCTGCATCGATTTGATATCAAACTGATTACTGATATGCAAACCTGTGCCAGTATTTCTGTCTTCAGCGATCTGCAAACTTCTTGCATCGAGCTGGCTACTACTATGCAAATCCGTTTCCGTTCGACTCTCAATGGTGATCTGCGTTGTTTTCATATCACGTTGGTTGTAGTTGTGTGAACTCGCTTCCGTTCGGCTTCCCAAAACCTGCATCGTTTTCATATCAACTTGATAACTGCTCTGTGAGACTGCTCCTGTTTGGTTCTCGGCGATCTCAGTAGTGTTAGCAAGTTGGTTGCTACTCTGCGACTTCGCTGCCATACGGGTGTTACCTTCGACCTGTATCGTCTTAATATCGGGCTGGTTACTGCTGCGGGAGTTCGCATCCGTATGACTCGCACTAGTGACTTGTGTTAAACTGACATCGATTTGGTTACTGCTGTATGAGTCTCCTTTTGTACGGCTATCATCAGATACCTGCATCGTCTTTACGAATTGCCCATTGCTAAGTGATTTTGTTTCTACCTGAGCTTGTGTTGCGGTTTTGTTTTGATCCTCACGAATAACTTGGTTTGTCTGAACATTCGTATGACCGATTAAAGCATCACTTCCAAACTGACTTTCTTTTTTGATTCCCATAGCTTCAAACTCCTCGTAACCGGTGATGTGCAACTCCTTTCCGTCTCGTGCTTCCCCACTAACGTGCATTGCTTTCGCTTCAATTTGCTCACCACCGTGAGAATTCGTTCCCGTATGGCTCACACTAGATATTTGCATTGCCTTCACATCAAATTGGCTAGCAGCGTGTGAGTCCGTTCGTATACGGTTTTCATTAGACATCTGCGTTGCCTTCAGTACTTGTCCAGTGCTGAATGATGTGGTTTCGACGCTGTTTTCCTGAAAAGATTAGTCTCCGTTTTCGTAGTTTCTATACATATGAGTTGTAAAGCTTACATTTGTGAATCCCGCGGTCGTGTCCTGTGTTTTTGCCACAACATCAGTTTGCGTTGTGAGATCAACATGGCCACTACCGCTCATAATCGTTTGTTTGTGGCTCTCACTGGATATCTGCATTGCCTTCACATCAGACTGGCTCTCATTAGTGATCTGCGTGGTATTGAACTGAAGTTGGCTGCTGTTGTGTGCAGCATTCCCTGCATAGGTTTCATTAGAAATCTGCACTGATTTATCATCGCGTTGATTGTGTGAAGCATTTTCCGTAAGATCTTTGCTAGCAGTCTGTGTTGCCTGAATGGCGAAATCTCCAAAGCTATGGGTATCATTTCCCGTGCGGTCGTTGTTGTTAATGAGCTCGATTGTTCCTCTACCAAATTGATCACTGCTGCATAATTTGGCTTCGGCATCACCAGTGATTTGCTTGGTTTCGATGTGGAGGTGGTCACAACCACCCAACCCCAACGTGTTAATTTCGGCTGTGGTCTGCAGTACATCTAAGCCTTCTTTGCTTGCATGCGCATTCGCAGCAGTCCAACTGATATCTGATAGTTCTTTTGCTTTGCTCAAAACAGCAACATCCGTCGAGACGTTGGCGAAGTTGCCCATCACTTGCTTATCTTGAACGAAATTTTGCAGGTCTTTGTCATTATTGCTGACAACCTTCAAAGCATCTTCGTTGAAGCGATCCGCATTAAGTAAGTTGTCACCAAGGATGGCGTTATCAACGTTATGTAATTTTACAGCAGTCTCGCCGCTTGCGCATAAGAACGCAAGGTGGTGTTGCAAACCTATCTGCTTGTCATTTGACAATTCTTCTCCGAGTTCCTTGTGGTAAAGCTGTTTGTACATGCGACCGATTTCTGCAAGCTGTTGATCGCTTCTTGAAGTCATGTACGTCATACATTCAATGAGAACTGAATCCTGAGTGCTTTTACCAAGCATTGCTCTGTGCAGTTGCTTGGCATCATAGACGGCGACTGGTTCCAGAAGTGCAAGAATAATGGCCTTTGCTTCTTGATTCATCTGCGAACTAAGCACCTCTATCAAGTCTTTTCCGTACATACTCTGGTATGCCTTCGAAATCTCCTGCCTTTGAAAACTAGGGCGCCCGCAGAGAAAGCTAATAGAATTTGACTTGTTGGCAGTATATATTAGACTCTGCAACGTCTCCGCATCTTGCATGGCGTTGAAATTAGGAATAGGTCGAATAGATGGTGTGCCAGATGCTTTTCTGTAAATGATTTGCTGTCCTACAACACTGTCGCGCTGCTCTTGTCCTGGTAAGTAAATGTTACGATCAGTGTTTGCCATATAATTTGTGATGTTCTGAGATCCTGTAGCTATACTCATATGCAGTTGACTCACTTGTTGTGAGTAAACTTCACTTGACTGACTAGCACATAGAGACTGCGGCTGTTTTAGAATCCCTCCTCCAACGTGGTCGCTATCGAGATTGCGGTAGGAGTTTTCTACATTAGCGTACCTGTTTTCGAGGTTACTGGTATGGCTTGTCTGATTGACGGCCCCATGATCACGTCCTTGGGCTTGCGATTGTTGATCAGATGAGACAGAAACTTCAGATTTATTCTCCACTACGTTATGAATAGCCGATAAAACATACGACCTTAGAGACATCGTTGAATGTCTTTCTGAAATTGAGGAAGTCGTGACTCTATACAAAGGCCGTTCGTAACGCTGAGGATACAAAGCGAACAAGGAAGATTGAAGCTACGGTGCAGAACCGACAACTAATACCGAAGGACGATCACAAACTGGTTGGAGCTTACTGGAGTTAACTATGAGAGAAAAGGGCAGAGCCTCTTGTCTCCTCAATGTCTATTTACTCGCGACTTTTTTGCCGAGGAAAATCGATGGTGTTCTGTCGTTGCAAAACCTTTGGGATTGTATTGTTTTCGAAGAGCCTTAAGTAATTTGTATAAATCAGATCTACCTATTGAGAGAAAACAAACGCGGACTATCACGGCAGCTTATGAGAAACAGAGTCGTAGAGTTGACGCTTGCAATGCGCCCTGATGACCTTGAATCTTCCAAAAAGCTAATATTCCTGGAAAATTTACAGTATGAGTTGCGGAGTCATTCTATTGAGTTATGGCTTCTGACTTGCAAGGAACTTGCACTGTGACTTTTGCACCCGTTTCGTAAGAAGGATATAAGAGTATGAAAGAAACCCGTTGTTTGATTTCATACGTACACGCGATTCATGACACGCAAAGATTGGCCGCTTGCGTTCGACCAAGATAGTTCGCGCATGGAAGAGACTGCAGACGGTGAGAGAAATGAAAGAGCACTTGATGAGGGAGACGCCGATACGTTTCGCAGTTTTTACGTGCTATGGATCGCCCGTATTTGAAGAATCTTTGCTCTCTAATTACCGATGTAATATCGCGCCATTGGATGAGGACTGACTCGGTGCATAGGGCATTTGTAAAATCGTGACGATGGCGCGACCGCGCGCGCCCGCACGCACCTCCCGTAACCGCGTCTTCTTGTTTTTCATTTATACGCGAATGGTTTTTCGCTTACGTACGATACTATTTAGACATCAGAAGTGACTGAGCTGAGCGTTGAGATGATGTCTTTTTATGTAAATGTTTAGTGCTGCTGTGGGCGCAAAGGCCGCGGTCAAATCCGTCGTCACTATTTTCTATATGACCTATAATTTCGCACTACTGGATGAAATCAACTGTGCCGTACAGCAACTTTTGCTATATGGAAGTGGGCCTTGTTATGTGCAAATGAAAGAATGCTGTAAAGCCTCTGCAAAACAAATGTTTCCTACAGCACCGCGCAATACTCGCAATTTCGCATGGGAGGGGATGGGAACTGGAGTGCTTACAATTTCACCTTTTGAGATAAGCTGCTTGGGTGCGTTCGCTTATTGTCACGATGTACAGCTAACAGCTAATGCTTACCATTGAGTTAAGACTTTGCTTTCACTACCTTCCGAGTTAAGCTCACACTCCAGCCAACCAATTAACAACCATTCACAGCAAGTGATCAGTGGTAACACATGATGGCAAGATCAAGATGGTGATAAGTCGTACCATAAGCGCCGTCTATGGTTACCATGTTAAAGAAGCTAAAATGCATGGTGAAACACACTTTAGGCCAAGCATTTCATTGAGTTAAAAACTGTGTGATCAACAAGGAACTTTCAACAATGATTCACATTTGTAAATACAATAAAAAAACAAGTAATCAAACTCAGCCACTCACATTGTTTCATAATTAGTGAGTAAGGGCTGAGCTATTGTGTAAAGATTACGTTCCGACCAGTACTGGAAATGAAAAACTTGTTTTCAAATTTTTTCTCACAAAGTCGGATATGGTATAAGCACGGTGGGAGTCATATTAGATTCATACAGGAGAAAATAAATAACACATCTATGATCATTAACTCAAGTCTCCAATGCTGACAATCGTTTGAAAGACGAGCAAAAAATCGAAAAATTTGAATCATGATTTCAATGCGCTACCATGCATAACTGACCACAAAGACCTCTTAAGTCAACTAACAATAAGCAACTGGTTTTAGTCGATTTTACTACTTATTAGTATTGGTTGTTGCATAAGTTCTGTCCGATTTTTTTGCCTCATGTTTGAAGCAGCTGTTCTAAGAGAATTTCATCTCTAATGCGGTACTGTTAGTATCATTAAAAAGTGCTTTTCTTGCGCTTTCTAAGGCATATCAAACTTCAATAAATTTCTTAGTGTAAGGAGATTTCAGGCCTAAAATCTCCAAGTGGCCGAGGTAAGTCCTCACCCTGGAAATATGTTCTTGCGGGCAAATCTCCACGATGCGCCCTTCAAGTCAAGTTCTTTCATTGGCCGCGGAATAAGGGTCTAAAAGGCTAATATATGCAGAAGCTTGGTTTTATGAAGAAAACGTCTTGCTAGTAGAATTTATCGTCGAACATTGATCTTTTGTATAGGTGTTTTACAAGCAATAACTTTCTGCGAATAGAAGTAATCGATGAGTTCAAAGTTGGAGGTGCTAGGGTAAAGCAAGAGCTAGCAGGGCCCATCCACCAATTCCTTTTCGGCGCTCACGTCAACTGTAAAATCTTCATAACTCATAAATAGGCATGCACACATGCGCTGAAGCGAGGTCAAAAAGTGGCTAATTTTTTGTTCGGCCAAAAAAACCTCTCGGCAACGCAGACCTTATGGACTCTTTCAGGTTGCAAAATAATCTACGAAAATTTCTCCATCTGTCCATTGTTAAATAAGATGCCTACCAATTCTCATAAGGGAGCATTGCCATGTCAAAAAAGACAAGTTTGAAGGAAAACGTAGTGAAGTTTTTAAGTTTTTGCTTCTTCCTTAACAAAGATTTTCGCAGGTTCTAATGTGTCTGATAGCCAAGGAATTGTCAACACACTGAAATTAAGATCTTGGAAAAAAGTTGACTTTGAAAGAAGTTATGACATTTTGAACTAAAAAAATTCAAATCGGACAGAACTTATGCAACAACCTAATATTTGATGTTAATTCTTCACAGAAAAGTTTAAGAACAACTTCAAAAATATACGAAAAACTTGAGGCTAGCATATAACACAGCCTGTATCAAGCGCGTGCCTCCCTCTCATCGAGGATATGGATCTGCAACGCTATAGTTTCGCGTACTCGCAAGACGAGTTTGAATGCTCAATCCACAAGCGTACGACTGTGAGTGTCCGAGAAAAATTATTCGGATGAAGCGGAGCAGATAATTGTTAGCTGTTTGAATTTTGAGATGTTTGCCGGTTTTTACAGGGCCTACAACCTCAAATTTGGCTGCCGCCCGGCCTTGAAAATTTTTTTACACAGCTACTTTGAAATATAAACAAAGTAAAAATACTCAGTGTTTATCAATAAAAACGAGTCACTTGCGCAACTTTATCCCCGTAGTAATTTTGTGCTTTCCCCTCTCCTCCACCTTCTCGGTCCGCCACTGCGCATGATGAAAGAGCAAAGTCTGGCGTGGCGGCTGCGCACGATAAAAAGAAGATTAGTTGACATAGTGTGACTCCAGAGATTCTTAGATGCTAAACAAACTATTAAGATATGACCATCCTTGACATCGGTTGCTCTATTTCACTGCATAAACGAAGAGCACGTGATAGATTGTCAGAGATCTGAGAAACTATTATGATTGATAAAGGACTATAAGGAACAACATGTCCCCGGATGGAAAGGAAAGTAGTCTTTGTGTAGAAATCTTGGATATTCAATAACACCGAAGACGGATTTCACGAAATTCCTCTGCAAAAGGATATTTTATGAAATGCATTAATATGCACTCATTATATCCATTCGAGAAAGAATTGCATTCTTTATTTTTGACTTTGCCGCTGAAGAACAAAAGCGAGTTTTTCCCAAAGTACCCTAATTCACGAGTATGAGACGCACCTGTTTTTTTTTTTGAACTCGCCAGCCTGAAAATACCAAAAAGTCCGCGACTAAAGGACCCTTTATCGAGCTGTTCCTTACGCTAAGAGATTTGTATGGAAGAGCGACCTCGAGAGGCACAATGCTGCGGTCGAGTTGCTTGCTCATGAAAATGGAAACGTGAAATCAGAGTAGTGTTTTAGATTGCTGTATACTTAACGTATACGTAGCTCAATGCTTGAGGTTTTTTATACACCACAAAAATGCTGTAATTAAAATTGTTTGCTTGTGTTAGAATCCTTTGGCTTATTTCCATGCATTTTAATAAGCAAATATGAGCAAAATTCAGCTGTGTAAGAATTCTTTTGCTCATATCTGTGCACTAAACCAATTTATGCACAATTTAGTGGGCAACAAGTTGCGAAGTTTTCCAGGTTTTAGTTTCATTTTGAAAGCATGTGTGACTAAGAGGAAACAGATGTGCTTTTAAAAGAGATGAGACTTTTCTTAACAGGTGCAGTGCAGTGAAAAAAGAGGAGAGGAACATGTAGAGCAATCCAGATTTAGTTTCATTCAAAATCTTTGAATTATACATCTAATTAGCAAAATTTTAGGAGTCTAGGCAAATATACTCAGTACTTCTAATTTTCTTGCAATGCTCCTTTTTTTGTCGATCTGTCCAGAAGTGAAGAAAAGAACATAACGACTTCTTGGAAATAAAGCCATAGAACTTTCAAAACAACCTATATTGACCTACCTATATTGACAATAACATCGTTGATAATGAGTTATCAATTCTAGAAACAAAGGTAAGCTATCATGCTATATAAAGCTGATCTCTGCTTGTCTGTATGTATATCCGTCTGTTTGTATGTTTGTACGTATGTTCCTAATAGCAATTTTTATTGCGAACTGATCTGAATCATGCTTTGCACGCATACACTTCGGAGCGCGAGTCATGGGTCTAAATCGAATAAAAATTCGATCATACGAAAAAAACATTCGAATATATTCGCATTCGAAATTCAATATGAGTTTTTCCGTTTTCGAATAAAGTTCGAAAACTCGAATAATCAAATAACAAGGTTTCGAATAGATTATATTCGAATGTTTCATTCGAGTTTCTATTCAAATTCGTATTCGAACGAAATCCGTATCCATTTATTCGAGTTTGCTGCAGAGCCAACTACTGAGTAACAGCTCCTTCGTCTGCGTTTTCTTCCGCAAAACTCGAAATGCATCTTCTCAGCCGTAAT